CATCCACCCATCCATCCATCCCTTCATCCATCCATCCACCCCCAACCCCTTCCCTTCATCCATCCATCCACCTACCCACCCCTCAACCCCTTCATCTATCCATCCATCCACCCACCTACCCCTTCATTTATCCATACATCCATCCATCCACCCCCCCACCCCTTCATCCATCCATCCATTCATCCACTTACCCACACACCTATCCCTGTCTGTCTCTATGGTCTGCTACCTATTATGTATGCATGTATATGTTTATCTATTTATCGTTATCTGTCATCTAAGTTGTCATTTATATATTTATATATCCATCTCTCTGTCTCCATCTCTTTATCTCTACAATCTTTTTATCTGTCTACCTACCTGTTATCTATGTATTTACCTATCATCTATCTGTCATTCATATACCAATCTATCCATCTGCTTCCTATTTATCTGCCTATCCATCTATTTATCATCTTTCTATGTAACTGTTTACCTACCTACCTATCCATCTATCAATCATCTATTTACCTATTCATCTGTCCGCTTTTCTATGTATCTATCTATTTATCAGTCATCTACATACCTACCTATCCATCTATCTCTACCTTTCTGTCTATCTAGCTATCAATAATCTACCTACCTACCTGCCTGTTGGTCTTTTGAATTTTCCATTACTCTTTGCTGAGACATGCCTACAAATCGTATAGAACTAAACTTCTCAATATGCACTCTAGCCCATTATGTCCCAGGCAAACTCAGAAGGTTGTAAAAATCACTTAGGCATATTGATCAGCATCCAACCGAGGAAAAGCACCACATTTTCCTTCAGTGATAACACTGACCACACGAGGGCAGCGTTGCCTGAGGATTGTTGTATCCTGTAGTCTAATAGTTTTAAATAGAGTGAGGTTCATGTGCCCCAAATTTTACTGATTATAGAATAGAGTAGACTATTATTAGAATACAGTATACTATTAGAACATAATGTTGTTAGAATACAGCATATAATTATTAGACTATAATTAAAACAGTATTAGTTTCAAGGTATGTTGAAGTTAAAAATTTATAAAAATAAATTTAAAAAGAATAGAATATTACCCCCCCAGTCATTAGAATGACTGTATTAGAATTATTATATAAAGTTATGAGAATTGTTAATAGGCTATAACATATTGGAATATTTAAATATATTAGAATATAATAGAATAGAAAATAACCTAATTATAATGTAATAAATCATTAGGCTAATTGAAAATGAATAATTAGGCCAGGC